TTTGGTGTTTTTGCTCACGGTAAGTTTTTACAGGATCTCTGGATAAATGGTGTCAAATTTTCAAGGGTTTTTTCACATAGGAAGATAATTACTGAGGTGTTGTCACTTACTGGTATTTCCTGTGTAAGTAGTTCACGTTTATCCTAAAATCTCTATCTCTGTCTAGAAGTGACATCAGAATACACCTAAATCAGGATTTTTAGGCTAAAGTATAAATATAGACCTTGTTTCAGTCTATATGTGAGTGTGTATACTAATTTGAAATTTAATTCATGCTGAACTTTGGTGAATTTTTCATTACAAACAGCAGGCATTAATCTATGGTGATATTCAGAAAGGGTCTTGTTGTCTCTGCTCAGCCTCTAAACCTTGAACGTTTTACCTCAAGTGTTTAACGACACTTTTTAAAGTGTGTGTTGGGTCCATATAAATATGCTTTCATATCTCAATTATTAAACTCAGTCATTAGCGTTCCAAAAAATGAATTGTAAAATGGATTTCCGCAATTCCCCCAACAGAACAAATGTTTAAATTATATCATGCATGGCAGGGTGGTGATGTGGTTGGTAGTACTGTTGCATAGCAGCATGGAGGTCCTGGGTTCAAATCCCATCACAGGGTCTTTTTGTATAGAGTTTGCATGTTCTCCCAATGCATGCTTGGTCCAGCTTCCTCTCACAGTCCAACAGCAAGGCCTGCAAGGACGAGTAGGAACAGAAGATGGCTGGACTTAAATGTTTGAAATGTTTTGCTTGATAAACAGTCATGTTTTGTCTGTCTCTTAGCTTTAGACTACACAGTTTTGATTCGGTCTATAACGAGACGAGGTACAGGTATGCAGCACTGATGTGTAGCCTCAAATGTAACTATGATTTACCAGTTCACACATTGGTACGATCAATTGGTCTGGATATACTGTGTTCAAAATGAAGATGACACGAGGCAAATCGATTATAAAAAACAAAGAACACGTCTGCTTATGACAGAAACGAAACCTCATTTAAAAGTCCTGAACTCTCCCTTTAAGGCTTTGCTGCAGTAAACCGTGCAGCATGTCTTGCTGTGGTTACCAACATAGAGTTTTTTTAATGTCTCACATGTGTCACCATAAAATCCTTATTCTCCTGGAAACTGTGGTTTGCTTGATTCAAAGCATTCAAAGAAGTAAAAGGGAAAAAAAACAGTAAATGTTGGAAGAAATGGATAAAAATGCTTTGTCTGTGGAAATGTCCCAAAACAAAAGCTGATATTCAGCTCTACGAAGGTTCCCTACCTTACATAATCAGACACACCTGCGTGGTACAAATGATTGTGTGTGTAATCAACCCCCAAGGGATGGATGGATTTCTTCCTGACCATGACGGAGACACGCTCCAGTGCCGCGGATGCAACGCGGGATTCCCGAAGCTCCAATCTTCCAGGATTAGACAGTCAAGGAACGTGGAGCGCAGCTCCGGATGGCTCTTATGGGGTTATGATTGCCCTTATCCTTACTGCATTAACCTCCTGATTGCTTGAAAAGACATTATTAGACGCTTCCAGTGGAACAAAAAAAAAAAAGAGGAGCAAGTATGGGCTAACAGGCAATCATGCCCACCGGCCCATGTGCCTAATGTAAGGCCAAGGACACAAAGAGAGTGACAGTGCAACAGACATAAAAGGAAGGAAAGAAACAGCGGGGGGGAGGGAGGAGGGAGCGGGAGAGGGGGTCTTTGATCGTCGATTAAAGTGCAATTGTGCAATTTCATTCCTGTTCCAGCACAATGAGGAATGAGATTAAGCTCAATTTGGACCTGTTCAGGAGATCTCCTCACCTCTGTCGGAGGTGCACCGTTCGACACACACACACACACACACGCACGCATGCAACACCTTCACACCCCTGGAGCCCCTCACCATGTCAGCACCCCTCCAGGGAAATCAGGCGTCTGGAGACAGGTCAGCCCTGGCCCATGTATATATTCATGGGCTTAATCTGGCATCATTTCTCTGTGGTGCCGGAAAAAGAAATGTATTTAATTTACACAATCCCCATTTGGCTTGCTCACCAAGGAGAAATACATAGGGAAAGTAGGCCCACAGTCAGAGCTCCCGCTCTTTAACGTATGCTAGTTTGTACGACCAGCGTGCGCATATACAAGTCGTGCACGTCTCTGTGTTTCTGTGTATGTCAGGATGCATAGCAATATTCTGTCAGTGCATCGGGAGGAAAAAGAAAAAAAAAACATCTTATCGTATTCCAGACCTGTACAGTAAACCCAAACAGTGGCAGCTGTGCTCGTCAGTTTGAATGGGAGGATGGGAGTTGTACCCAGCAGATGCTGTGTGTGTATTAAACAGATTAATTATTAAAAGATGCTTGACAGATGAAAAGTGGGTCCTCAGGCTATAAAGGAAAATGTTTATTCTTCTGCCATAGACTGTAGTACACTTAGGTTCTGCTCTCAACTTATCCAGCGCCTCAATGAAGAAAGTAAACACTTTCCGTGCTCTGCGCGCTTAAAATCGGATCCAGAATAATTTAAAAAAGGCCGCCTGGGATGAAACCTTCAAATGTGGGATGCGTGTTCGGTGATTTGGGTGAAATACGATTATTGCTCGGTAACAGCTTTTCCATACGTGTGTGTTTGCGCGGGGCTGGATAGCCTGAGGACAGACCCAATCACTTTTTTTTATTTCCAGATGGACACTGAATCAGACAACCTCGTTCTCAAATCCACGTCAACCTTTTATTTGAGATCTGTTTCCTTTAAGATTTTAGAAAACCACACCTGAAAACGTCTGACTCTGGAGTAAAGTTTCTGCTGTAGTTATTGATTATGTTTGTTGAATTGTCAGCGTGACAGTAAACAGTTTCAGCGTTAATATGCTGGGAGGAACGTCATCGTTACACTTTATCACTGAGGTACATGTTGTAATATCTAACAATTGTCACACATGTAGTTATTGCATTTTTTAAGTACGAAAACCAATTAGCCTTCATGCAAAAAATAAAACTCATATAAGAGATGAAAATCCTACAGATTCTTGTGTGATTTAGATTTAGTTGATACATGCCATTCTGAAGAATTTAAGTCACCTAAGCATTTTTTATGAAAACAAGGTTCAAGTCTGACATTTGACTTGTTTTTGGTGTGTATAAGTACAGGGTTGTAAGTAAGATCATGATTTTTTGGATTCTCCATTTTTATTCTTAAAAGGTTGCGTCCAGGCATCCATTTGATTTTTGCAGGGTTGCGATGGGCGGAACGTAAATCCAGCCGTCGTTGGATGACAGGCAGGGCGAACCCTGGACACGCTGCCATTGTATCATTTATCTTTATTAGAAGAAAAAAAAGATCATGATGCGAGTTGTGAATTGTCGCGACAGTAATGGTAGCTTATTGTTTTGGGGGTTTTTATGTTTGCTGGATTGTTAAGTTTACCGTTTGCTCACTGACATTTGAAGGCTGCACAGGTAAAGCCTGGTATTTGATGGGTTTATGGAAGCTATTTCTGCATAAATTGATAAAATGATCCTAAGAAAATCAAAAAGTCAGGAAAAAAACATGACGCATAAGAAAGACAATGGGTATTCTCGTCTAAAGAAAAGCAGGAAGAAATGACACTACTGCAGGTTTTATAATTATTAGTTAACCAGCATTTAGTAATGTTACTTTTCCCTTTTGTTAGGTTAAATCCATAACTGTGAGTGTGATGATGCATCTAGCAGATGATAAACACCGAGTTCAAGAAAACCAGATGAGGCGAACCTTTTGCACATAATTTATATTTTAAAACAAACAAATTGTTTGGTTTTAAAAATACAGTAAAAGTTGTACTAATTCCAAACTATTAGTCCAAGTTTGCCCAGTTTATATAACTCAATTGTTCAGCTTGATTCATTCTTCGATGATCCTAATGTCAAGAAAGGCATTTATTATGTATATTTAGAAATAAACTGTCTTTGAAAGCTTCTCTGTTAAATAGCGCTTCTAAGTATTTTAGATGTTGACTAAAAAATAAATAAATTCAGTCCAGATTGCTTAAAAACTGTTAAAAAAATATATAAAATCCTGTTGGTCCAGCACGATGAGGAAGCAATTTTCCAAACATCAGCAGTTCAGCTTCTTTCCAGAGTATTTTTAGCCATTCTGATGAGAAATCTTTATTAGCCATCTCTGTTGTCAGAGCAACTCAGAAACTATCTCCTTCATTACTTTAAATTTAAAGTGTCAAGCACAGATTGAACAGGATGTCTAGCCTAAAGCACTCATCTTCATTTCCAGACCTCATAATGGTTGCTTACTTTACCAGACAGACTTTAATTTGATGAGAAATCCTACGGTGACTCGTTCAGAACCAGCATTAATTAGTCTGTATGAAAAGACTTAAAACAAAACTGGACAATACAAGAGAATGAGACAGATAAAAAAAATAAAAAATATAGGAAATCCCAAAAGAACAATCTTGTCTTCATCAGTCAGTAGCACAGTTTCTATTTAAGCCAGTCAATGTGCTCTTTGGAAAACTTAAACCTCAAGTTGGATTTCCAACAATTAAGTTTTTCTGAGTCTTAAGCCAATCGCTTTGCTTCACATAGATGCTTCACAGCTAACATGTAGCTTTGTGGAGTAGCTCATTGGTTAAGTCTTTCCAGTTTTACTTATTCTTTAATCCATTTAAATGGTAGTTTACCTGTCTCTTCCAAATCTTTCTGGTTTCCATTCTAAAGCTACAGTATGTAACTTTCACAAAATTATGTTTTTACACTTTACACTGTTTGACAGTATGACACAGATAATCTGTGAAACGACCGAACTCCGCTGGTTATTGTCAATATAAGCAAAACCAAATCTACATTTTTCAATTTTTTTTGTGTGCAATAAATAGACAGATATTAGCACGGAGTCTTTACAAACTGAATGTACTCACCGTTAAAGGGCACAAAACTTTTCCTCCATCAGTTTGTCGTCAACAATAATAGCAAAAAATGTGGGGAATTAAATGATTATAATTCATTTTAAGGACAGTTTGTGAGAAGTCTTTATTTGCTTGCTTGTCTTTTTTTTCCCAGACAAGAGTGCAACACAGTGAACAAGAACCCCAGGAGAGGACAAGAGGATTGGGGGATGTTTGCTGTCAGACACATCTGTCTGCAGCGTGGGGAGGAGGGAGTGTGAGGCACCACCTGCTCGTGCCATTTCCCCACTTCTTGACTCCATGGAAATACGTTACAAATTCCTCACTTCTGGATCTGAGCATGCAAGGCCCATCTGAAAGTAGAGCCAAGAAATATGGACCAGGTAACTTTCCATCTTTGCTTTCTGCTTTCATAAATGTACATAAGACATGACAATAAATTCCCTCCCTTCCCCCCATTGCTGCAGACGCGCACACACACACATTGATGCACACACACACAGACACGGGTTGCTAGGCCCCCTGTTGCCTCATCTGTCAGCCCTTCAACCACACACACACACAAATGCAGGATCTCAGGGGAGAGGGTCTCAGATGCAGATCATCAGTATTATCAGGCGGCGGAGGGATTAGCATCCCCCTGCAGTGACCTACAGGTGTAGCCCTGGGTTAAAGCAGACAGTTATCTTTGCGAGCATCACTGGGTCCTGACCTCCGGCCCATCCAAAAGAACCTCACACACACACAAAAAAAAAAAAAAACAGATGAGGAGGAGTTTCACTGCACAACATAAGCAAACAAAAGAATCATCATTACGGAGAAAGTGCAGTTTTTACTATAAACCTTTATAATTCAGAATAAGAGGATTTGCCTGAAGGTCAGCCGATTTCCCCCCTTTTATACTTTCAGGTTGTAGACAGCCCAAGTGACAGGAGGTTTTCTTTTCTACGCAGCAATAATAGAGTTGCAAATGCTCCTGTAGACTCTTTCGTAAATTGTAAAGGCCATGTCAGCAAGTTCCCTTCAGAGGCAAAACTCTCTTTATATATATCCACAAAGTCCCGTTCTGTGCTTTGATGGCGCCTGAACTTCTTTTGACACTGCAGGAGAAATGCAGGGAACATCCTGGACCAGTCAAAAACTTCTGACTACCCTAAGATTAGGAACAGGTGATTGTATCATTCATCTTTGTTGTGTGGAAAAATTATAATCATGCATTAAAATTGTGATTTATTGTGATAAATAAAACCCTTGATTGATTTATGTCTGTAAACACTCAAAACCGACACTGTTAGGATTGCTGAGATGACTTTTCAAATACTTTTTTCCCCCCACCTGCACAGGGAAACCTAACAAACACACAGGAAACCCGCAGCTGAGACTAGAACAGGAAGCCTTCGTATTGTCACAATACGACAATTTTATAGCTGCAGTTGGAAAGCTGTCAGAAACACAGCTGACTGGATCCTGGTTAAATAAATAGATGGATCAACTAATTAACCAGCTGGTATCAAATCAACATGTTTGAGTTTCTCTGTGAAGAGAATTGCAAAAAGCTGAAATCCTTCACACAATAATTTGCTGAAAACTAGTATTCAATTTAGTGTTTTTTTTTAAATATGTTTTTGTTAGGTTACTTAATATTTTATTATTTTTATTTTGATGCATAAACTAACTGCAATAACAAATATGTGACATAGTTTTAGCAACAATAGGATTTTTTTTGACATAATAAAGCTGTAAAATCATGTTCTCTAGTTTAACTTTTTTTTTTTTTGCATAGGTTCAGTTAAAAATGATAATATGATAGCTCAAGGTGTGTGAAACCCATACAGCCTCATGCCTAAATTAATTAGATGATAGTTAGAAAAAATCCCCGAACGTGAGAATAAATGATTTTAGCAGTGTGATTTTTACGATTTACTTTTAAAGGCTTTGACCCCTTTCTTTCATTCCATCTTTTCCAGGTGCATTTTTCATTCCTTACCCACGTAATGCAATGCATGCTGGAGCCATCGCCTGAGAAGACATGATGGCGTGATGCACAGATGAAGTCAAAACAACGCGAAGATCGAGGCAGACAACCAAAAGGGCCTTTGGTGGTTGACGTTCGTGTTTTGTTTGCTGTAATATCATTTGAACCTGGCTTGTGTTGTTGCCTCCCGTCGGACTCCTCGCATTCTGTTGACATTTTGCTGTTGTTTGTACGCCGCAAAGTGGTCCATTTTCCACGCATCAAAAGTGCTTTAACACGCATGTGTCAGGATGTCTTTGGTGCTTACCTTCAACTCCTGTCAGGCAGCGAGAGCAGGGCCTGTGCTCAGGAGCAGAGGGGGGGAAAAAGGCTGCTTTGTGCCCGAAGCGGGGGGGGTTTTAGCGAAGGCGAGAGAACGCGGCTCAAAGGCTGTCAGCGCACACGCAAATACACATCAATATACATACTACAACGAGCGTTTTTTTGTTTTCCCCCTCAGCTGCACTCCCGGAAAGAAACAAGTGAAGTCCGCCTTGCGTGCGCACAAGCATGCTGTATGCTCATTACGTGCGTTCTGTGGCCTTGTTTGTCTGTCTTAAAGGCTGCAGGAGCGTGAGGGTGGTGAACAAAGTTCTGATGAAAGCATGGAAAGTCGGGACTCGGGTCCAGATAAAAGAAAAACAGCCCCCCACAGTAAAACGATGCGTCTGCAGCTGGAATTGAGTTACAAATTACATTTGTGTTTATGAAAGAACAGTTGTGAAAGGATCAGAAGGCAAATGCAATCTGCACTTTTTTTTTATCCTACCTGTAACATGATCAAGGACTTTTCAAATATAAGGAATCTTCTCACTTCAGGCCTTTAGGAGGGTTAGGGTAAATCTGTTGCAGGAAAGCTAACCTTCTGCCTTGGAAAAAGCCAATCACATTGTAAGATTTGTTTTGAAAATTAAGGACAAAGTTTAATTTTGTGTCATGGACAGTGAAAAGAAGAAATATTTATGATTGAGCTTATGGCTACGTTGATACAATTCCTCGAGTTAATCACATGACATGATTGCGGAAAACCCCTGAGGTAAAAACCTTCAGACTTGGAGGTTTGATTTACTCGTATAATCTTGGGATGTTCACTGACTCCATCTTGGCTTTGTGTAAAAACAAGCGAAGTTCAACACAGATTCTCCACTAATCCAATAATATTCCAGAGTTTGCAATAGATGATGGGATCAGATTGATTAGCTTCTGTAGTTTATCATTCACACTGTGACACTGACATTATAAAGCATCTGAATTAATAACACAGAAGTGTCTGCTGTTAAGTTATTGTGTTAATATACATGATATGCATGCAGTGCTGTGAAGAAATGTTGCTTCTGTTTTTGCTTTTTTCACATTTCAGTGTTTCAGATGATGAAAACAAAATGTAAAAAAAATATATATATATATATATATATATATATATATATATATATACCTACATTATATATATATATATATATATATATATATATATATATATATATATATATATATATATATATATAATGTAGGTATATTAGAAAAAAACAATATATTATGCATGTATACATTTCCTTTGATTCATTTTAGGATTTTAGCCATTAAGTAATTACAAGCAGACTATCATCATCCGAGCGCGGTATTACGTATCCAAACTTAAAGAGCGGTTTACTCTCCTCGTTCTACATAACATACGCCTTGTCTGAGGAATCCTGGATCTCAACTTTTCCTTTGCTGCAAATGACAGCAGTGTACCCCTGGTGTGTTGGAGGCTGCCAACCACTAAGCAGTCCTGGCATTCTTCAGACAGGCCAGACTTGTGGTTGTTGTTTTGCTCAGTCTTTGGCTGCAGGCTATATGCAGTATACAGACAGCTAGCCTGTTCCCACACAAGGGTTCAGTGCTAAAGGTGTTCAGTCCAATACTCAACTTTGGGTACTATTTGCAAGGAAAGATCAGGGGGGCAAACCTGAGCAGAAGAAGCAGAAAGGAGGAGCTGAGAAATAGAGATCCGTCTCAGATAAGTGTGCCAGAGTGATTAAGAGGAGCAGAAAAGAATTACAATTATGTGGAACATGTAGAAAAGAAGTAAACTTAAGAGGATTGTAGCTAAATATTTTTGTTGCTGTTTTGTTCCAACCATTTTCTTTCCTGTTAATCTTTCAGTCATTTGATTTGAGCTGTCCAAAATGTCTAACCACAAACTCATATTGTCTCAAGTCATTTTTCACAAAAAGGAGAATTCTGGGCTATGTTTGGGCTCCTCGGTGAGCCACGGGCCATTGTGACTCAACTTAACCATCCCTTGTCATGCTGTTTCAATTAGACATGACATAGAAGCTGGAGGACTGTCCACAATTCAGTGTTTTTTAGAAGCAGTGTACTGTTTCACTCCTTAAACACTATGTTTGGTCTTATTCTGGCATTCACACACAACCATGGAAAGATAAAATGTGAAAATGTCTCTTCACTCGACCCACTCAATGTGATACAGTAACGCGCTTTAGAAGAAAACGCCTCTTCAGCTATTTGTACGGAAGCTATAAATTAACTTATGGTGATCGGCTGATTATACTTTAGTCTTTTTATTTTCTGAATAACGAACGCACCACACATAAGAGCAAAAAGATTGTGTTGACAACGACAGTGTTTGGTGTGGAAGCTGCTACAGCAAGAAGAAGGCTCGGCTGTTTTCGGTATCGGTGAAATGCTGGAAAATGAAATCAGAGGGAAGGGAAAAGGTGCAAAAAGCTTGCAGAAAGAAAACTGTGTTTTTTTAGAGGCATGTTGGCCTTTTCTTCAGATTGCACCTTCAATATGTAGTGAGTTACGGATGAGAAAATGTTGATTTGTTGCACACGTTAGGGTGAAAGGAATACTTACTGATGCTTAAAGTGAAAATTGACTTTCATTATGATCCCAATAGAAACTATACAGGATTCTAAAGCCAGTTGAATTTGATTTCTGCTTTGGTTTAGACAATAATGGAGAAACTGTGTTTATCTGTGGAGCTGTGTCCTTATTTATTCAAAACCGAGACTACTTTGTGCTCTTTTTTAGTCGCAAAAAATAAGTAAAAAAAAGACTTAATACAAATGATTAAACAGAAGTTTTTTTTTTGTTTTTGTTTTTATCTCAAATATTAAGTTAGGATTTGAAAGGCTCTTTGTAGAAAAAAATTGAGAATTTTGAGATATAATGCTGTGCATTTTGAGGTCAAATGTTCCCAGTCTATATTCTGCATACATAAAACATGTCGAACACTTTTTGGAGTTGGATTTTATTCATAAATATAGCATCTATCCCATAATCTGTTTTAATATTGGTAGATTTTCAATGAGTCAGACCTGTAACATGAAG